GTATGCAGGAAAAGGGAGGGAAGTACAGTGTGTGGCAAGAACAGTTGACTGAAATGGATTGTGTGCATCATGACCTGGAAGTGCCTGTAAAGTATGGTGTGACTGATGCTGACTAACTCAAATGAAGGCACTTGGAGTGAGCTGGCAGGTCTTCCATCCACCTGAGTATTTCAATTGCCTATGAAAAATATTCTCTCTGCTGCACTTTTCTCCCTTGTCCAATGGACATCATCAGGGTGACCCAGGTCAAAGAGAATACATGAGGAAGGTGTAACATTTTCTATAGGATTTGAGGTGCAGGAGGACATGTCCCCATCTCTCATCTCCCGATCGAGTCATTAACTAGCCAAGCATTGCTACAGCTCAAAGAAGCATGTCTCTGTTAAAAGCCCCTGGAATTTCCTTTTTCCCAACAGAGTTGAACAGAAAGGTTGTTTCTTAAAAAAAATTAAAAAAAGAAGAAGAAGAAGAAGTAATTCCTGCGTGCAATAAAAAGATACACTATCTGCTGAATGAAATATAAAGGCTTCACAGCAGCTGTCTCCTGAGTCTGCATTTACTGCTGCTCCTGATTGGAAGGCTTGATAAAGATAATGGGATTTTTTACTTCCCTCCCCCTCTCCCTACCTCTCTCTGGAAGGTGGAAGTGTAACAAATTGGATTGGAGTATGTCTCTCCTTTGTGCCAGCTCGCAGAGGAGTACGTAGATCTGATGAGAGAGGGGACAGGGTGCTGCCAGCGAGGACAAAGCTAACAGTTTTCACTTAGTGCTGTGAATACGGATGTCAGGGTCACCTTTTCCTCCTTTGTGCCCTCCCTTCCCATTCTCTTGCTCACAACCAACACATTTCCTTGTAGATCAGTGTGTGACCACCTCAGCTGGCACTCACGGAGAAGGGGAGCGTGCAATGCTCCTGTGAGACTAGGAAGAGTTGGAGGACCACAACTTGGGGGTCCTTTCCTTGTCATTGCTCAGGTGCATGAGGAATTGAGTTATATTTGGTCATGGCAAAAGGGCTGCAAAACTGAAGCCAGATGCTCTGAACGTGCCCTGCAGGGTGTTTCCCTCCTTGTCTTGCTCAGGAGTGTGTCTTGTTCCAAGTCAGACCGACCCTTCCTCTTCCTTGTGTGACCCCTTTCTACAAGGTCACAGAGAAGAGCTTGGTCATCCCCTGTGTCTGTGCAGGAGCACAAAGGGCTTGATGGGACATCCTATGATGTCCCCAGCTCCTTTGGTGCAGAGGGAAAGCTTCTGCTGCTCTGAGGACCCTGTCCAGCCCTTGAATACAAATAAAGCACAGAATGAGGAATGCTGTGCCTACCCTTCATGTCAGAGCTGACGCTGAGAACCTCTGCATCCCTCCCAAACACACTATGTGAGTGTGTGTCCCCCCTCAAAGATGAGTCAGAAGAGAGGAGGACCATAGTAATATGCAGAGCCCTGAAGAGGAGATGTCAGAGACTGTCCCCAAGAGACCGTGAGGAAGGCACATAAAAGACACACTCTTGTGACAATAGAAGTGGCTTTGGCACTCTGTTAGTCACTTCACAAGAGCACTGTTTCCCACCCCAGCCCAAACTTCAGCATTTTATGCTCTTCCCAGAAATGCCTAGGACCAGTTAGCTTCCAGAAATCCAGATCAGTTGGGAATGAACAGAGAGCATCACCCTCAGACACCACAAGGATAATGTAGGTGAGGATCTAAGGAGCTGGAGTAAATGAAGGGTGGTTCAGGATCAGTGCTTAACCAACATAACCTTTGCTGACTCTCTGAGTATCTCCAGCCAAAGTAACACCCAGCAATAAACACAGCAGCTGACCTCTTCCTGCTAATTTAAATGAATAATAAAGGCAAAGGCGGCTTTCCCAATACATTTTAATTATGTGATAAGAAAACTGCTGAAACCAAAAGAAATTTGCAATGGTCCTTGCATTTTTATATTAGGAGAAATAAGCAGGGGTGGCAGGTGATGTCTCCATATCCAAGAGTTCATTTTAATTAACTCCCACAACAATAGACTTTCTGCTTTGGCTCTGGCTGCACTGTGTGTGGTTGGGTCACTGCGACTGAGACATGACAACCAAAAAGATGGTTTTGGATGGTCCAGGTTGTCTGTGGTTAAGACACAGCTTTCCCTAATGTTACAAGGTAGTAATACATTTCTCTCCTTTTGGCCATGTTTATACATTCCTTGCCGTTAGGCAAGTCTGTGAGTCCACCGTGGGGAAAGCTGTGACGATCCTTCACATGGAGCATCCTTCAAAATTTGAGCAAAAGGTGATACTCTGAAAAGTGACAGGGTGCTCCCAGTGCTGCAGAAAGAGAGAAGCATTAACTGTTTCAGGGTGGATGCTGGAGAACCGGCTGTGGTCAGAAACTGGAGCCTTTACCAAGATTATTAAGGGAGTGGAGCATCTCCCTTATGAGGAAAGGCTGGGTCTCTTTAGCTTGGAGAAGAGGAGACTGAGGGGTGACCTAATTAATGTTTATAAATATGTTAAGGGTGAATGTCAGGAGGATGCAGCCAGGCTCTTCTCAGTGATGCCCAATGACAGGACAAGGGGCACTGGGTGCAAGCTGGAACACAGGAGGTTCCGCTTAAATTTCAGAAGAAGCTTCTTTACAGTGAGGGTGATGGAGCACTGGAACAGGCTGCCCAGGGAGGTTGTGGAGTCTCCTTCTCTGGAGACATTCAAGACACTCCTGGATGCCTTCCCATGTAATCTTGTTTAGGTGTTCCTGCTCCAGCAGGGGGATTGGACTGGATGATCTTTTGAGGTTCCTTCCGATCCCCAACATTCTGTGATTCTGTGATTCTGCCCATAGGCATGCTGCTGAAGGCTTGTAGACATTACATGCTCCACAGAGCAAGGTGTTGCATGGCTCTTCTCCCCATTGTGCTTCTCCTGTGCCCGAAGTCAAGAGCTTTTTGCTCTTCAACACTTCTGGATTTGAGTAGTAAGAAGTGTTGTGTCAGCACTAATGAAGATGAACTGAGCCCAGTACAAGGTTTGGTGCTGTGCTGAACAAGACTTTGCTCTGCCCAGTGGAGATCTCTCTGTAGCTGAGTCTTGGTAGTTGGACATATCTCAGGTATTGATAAAAGCTGTGTCTATGCTGCTGAAAGAAAGAGCACCAGGGTTGGATTTCTATCCCTGAGATAAGTGACATCCATTTACTACTGTCCCATGGTGATGGCTAACATACGCAAGTACAGGTTGGTCTTGGAAGGAGCCACATTGGAGCAAGAATAGAGCCAGGGAGTAAGCCAAGAGTTAAACACTGTAAATGATCAGGGTGCTAAAACACCAGGCCTCGCTCTGTTCAGCGTTGCCAATGGATTAACAGCTCTCTGGTCATTGTTTTATTTATCCATATAGAGCTCACCACTGTATGCTGCTGTGCCCTAGCCCTGGATGTTTCATCTCTGTAGGCATTGACTCTATGTTCTGATCTCTATATGGTGTCACTCTTTAAAGGGGTGGGTGTTTCCTGTGCAAAAATTGTTTTGTGGTGGCAATATCATTTTATAGAATCACAGAATCATGGAATGGTATGGGTTGGAAGGGACCTGAAATATCATCTAGTTCCAACCCCTCTGCCATGAGCAGGGACACCTTCCACTAGACCAGGTTGCAAAGGGCAGAAAGACCAATCTGGATAGCCTAAGACTTGACTCTAAACTTTGCCATATGTCTATAATTTTTGCATAATTTCCTGAACTTTTAGTGGTTCATCTGTCTTCTCTTTCAAAAAAAAAGCTCTGGACATTTGTGCATTTATATGTTGTATGTGTTTGGAGGCATCTGACAGTGTAAAGGCAATGACTGATGTGCTGCAGCCTTCACATGTGTGACTACATAGGTTATGGGTAAGAGATTACCAGGTCTCTGTTCCCTATCTCAGAGGCTCTGCACAGCAGAGTTCAACATCCCTGTTCTCCTTGCAGAATGGCGGCAAGCAAGCGGGGCAAGGATGATCCTTCAGGATGAAGACATCACAACCAAGATAGAGAATGACTGGAAGAGACTCAACACACTGGCACACTATCAGGTAACTGTGTGAGAGGATGGACAGAAGGTAGATCAGCTAAGAAAATGAAAAAGGAGAAGGACAAAGTGTTATTCTCTAAGACACAGATGTAAATGCTGGTTGAGTGGGCAATAACACACCCTGTGTTGAGTATATCCATCCTGTTCCACTGCCCTTGTAGTAATTACTCTGAGCAACATTAGAAATGAAGCCAAGGAAAGAAAAAAATCCTCTGTCTCTCTCTCTCAGAGAAGGGGCATCCCTGGTGAGTGAAGGATGTGAAGAGGAGATGTGGTCATGAGGACAAGAATTAACATTTCTTCTGTAGACAAACAGAAAACAAGCCCCTCCATCTGCTTTTTTCAATGCATCAAAGTCCCTGCAATGCTGTCAGGGTTCAGAAGGATGGAAGAGAGAAAAATGGAAGAGAAGGTGGCTTAGTGTCTAGAAGAAGGAGGAAGGCAGTATGACTAGAGACCACGGTGCAATAGAGTTGTCACTGACATAAGAACACTTGTTTTCAATCCCTGTCCTGGTCTATGTGACCTGCATTGGGACAAAGCTTCACTTCATCTCTGCATGACCTTGAGATTCGTAAGAGAAGGATAAAGATGTCCAAAAATATCTTAGACAAGTGGTAGATTTAATGAAAAATTGAGTTTTAGCCAAAAGCTCCCTCTACTCCTTCCCCACCTTGCCAAAATAAAACAAAAAATCCCCACCTCATTAGGTTTAATCCAACACTGACAATTTTGTCATTTCCTCGATCACACCTCAGCAATCTATGTTTCATAACAAGATTTTTCTTTTCATTTAAGAGCTGACCTGAGGAGGCAGCAAACAATAATTTGAAAAGGAAACAAAACTTTTTCACTTCAGATTGACTGAATCATTGCAGTCTGACTCCAGGACACTTTTTTTTTCAGAGGGAGGGGGGATGTTTTCTATTTTATTTCACTAACAAAGCAGGCAGAATTTTCTTTCCCTTCTGTGTTTTTCTCCAGTTATTTGCTTCAGGCAATGAGCTCCAAGCCGTATGGATGAGCTGGGGTGGAACAGGTCCTCAGCTGCCAACGTGTTGAGCTCTACATCATTTACCCTGGCAGTCCTGAGGACAGACATGAACCATGCTGGGGCAGACACTGATATTCCTGTTGCCTCAGTTTCCCCATCTGTAGCATGGGGCTAAAACTACAAAGAGCCAATAATTGCCTTCCATGATTGCTGAGGGGCTATTTAATTAGCCTCAGCAGTGCTTTGAAGATGAAAAACTCTACGCAAGTGCTAATTATTATTATTACACAGACAAGAATTAGACGTTGTTAGCAGGTTTTTTTTCAGCCATCTCATTTTTATGATGTCTTATTTATCACAGATATTCCTGATATGGCTCCTCTGAGCCACTGGCTTGTTAACATTTCTGATACAGGACCTACAAGAATCATCTAGATGTAGAAATTTAAAGTCTGCCTTGTTTCAGAAAGCTCTGTTTTGTGTTGAAACACTGTCTCATGACATCCTGGAGCATAGCTGTTCCAAAACTTCCCCTATCTGAGACCCTCTGACGTTGCAAAGAGAAAGAAGTTGTGATAGTCACTTCAGTCCAGCAGTGCATTTGTGACATGGAAGGGGCAGACTGTGCAGGGAGAGGTTGACAGGGTCAAAGTGGAAAACGTAGATATCCATTTCTGGGCTAGGTACCTAGACACCACCTACAATTGAGGTGGAAGGAATAGAAAATTTCACATCCATTTTATCATCCTTATGGGACATCCCATCCTTGATGTTTGAAAAAACTCAGATGATTTTATTCTTCTCGTGCTCCTATTCTGTGTAAGAGCTTCCTTGCAAGAACATGCTCTCAGTTTTACTGAGGTTAATGAAAAGACTCACATTGTCATCACTGGGCTTTGAATCAAGACCTGAATGGAGCAGAGTCTGCTTTGTCATCAGTCGTCCTATTGCCCAAGCGCAGACTTCCAGTGCTGTAACAGGATATTTTATCCCTTTTTTGTTAATAGAGTCACCAAAGAAAGCACTTGAAGCTTTGGCCAAAACTACTCTCCTGCTTTCAGTGACACCATCCTGGCTCAGTTTCTGCTGCTTGAATTTCTGCTGTCCTTGCCATGCTTCTCAGCCACTTTTCAGAACCTTATTGACAAAGTCCCTTTTTAGGATCTGTGGTAGCTTTAGTCTCCAAGCAAGTCACTGCCTACAATGCAGTCAACAACTCCACAGTCTCCCGGACATCAGCCAGCAAGTATGGTAAGGATTTGTGTGTTGATATGGATTGAGAGAGCACTGGAGAAGAAAGCTTAACATTATGGTGGTTACAAGACACTGAGCACCAGCAGAAAGAATGATAGGCAGATGACTAGTTGATAAGATTCATTGAGGAATGGCAGGAGAAGAGGATTTAGCCATCTGAAACTTTGTTATCTGGTCCAAGCTGTTGAACCAATTGGCTGGATTACTCAGGGGAACTACTTCTTCTCCTTCATTAATGAAAGGAAGAGTCTATATAATTAGCTACCTACATTTTAGATCACTGAATCTCACTCTTAGAGTTTGCACAGGGAGAGGCACGGGAGAAGAACTGCACACTGTATGGGCTTAGTCATTCTGGTGGGAAAAGTCCTTGGAGCATGTTCTGTTGTGAAGATGAATCTGTGGCGCAGATGAGCAACCACAGTCTACATAGGGCATAACCTGTCTACAGTTATATCTCAGTGTGGGTGTTGTGCATTCCACCCAGCTGTCTTATTATCAGAAGGGAATTTGCACCTGGAATAATAATAAAAATGGCTTACTGAGGTCTATCTCAAGATTGTTCTTCTCACTTTACCCACCAGTCAACGAGAATGTGAGAGCTGTGAAATAGAGACCAGGCAGAAATTATTCTGTAGAGTAAAACAGAGACCTCCTGAGCCTCACTCACACCTTTCTGCCCTGTGCTAAAATTGCAGCCAAGGATGTGTCTCACTATGGTGATGCCGGATGGCAAAGGAAAACATCTCTAATGTTCAACCAGAATGCTGCAAAACCACCCTCCAACCTGGATGCAGCTTTCATATCACTTTATTATTATTTCTTAATTTATGAAAAAATCTCCAATCCTCCTGCTCCGTTTAGCTTGAGGGAAAGTACAGTTACTCAATGTCCAGAGGAGCCCCCTTCCTCTTTCTCCAAGGACATAAGCAATCCACCAGAACTTATTAATATTCATCCTCTTTGCCATATTGTTGCAATTACTGAAAGACACCGTGACCTTTGAAAAGCAAGACTTGAGGGGGGTTAATTTATGTTGGGTTTCTTTAATTCTTTTGCCATTTGATTTTTCAGGAGAAGGGAGTGGGGAAGAATGCAGGGGGAGGAGAAGATGTGGTGGGTCAGAAGTGACTGTTAATTGCAATTAAGAAAACAGCATCCAGAGAGGAAAAGGATATTCCATCTGATAATTAATATGTAGAGATTGGTAATGCATTAATGAGGCTGATTCAGATCTTGCTACAGAAAGGTGCAACACTCTTGCGTTAATTATGGTTGGAAAAGACTCTATCTGCAGCATTGGTGGAAGGTCAGGGAGAGGGAAATGCCTCATGCCATCATTCAGAGGGAAAGGGAGGTAGATGTGGAGACTAAATGTGTCCTTGGAGAGGAAATTTGTGCAGGCTCACCTGGGGTTCTGGTTTACTTTCTGTCAAAACAAGATTTTGGAGTAAAGAGGTTGGCTGGGCCAGGAGTTTTTGGATTGCTTTGACGCCAAAGCAGAGGGAAGACATCTCCCAAGACCAGAGATGGGAAAGTAGACAAGAGGTCACGTTAGCTACAACAATATTACTATGCAAAAAGGCCATGGCATGGTACATCTAACACCCATACAGATAAAACAAGTTGTAGTCAGCCATACTGGTTACCATGAGTAGCTGGTGCTATCATCGGAACCAGTCCTGGGCAGTGTCTGACACTGCCAAAGTTTTGCCAGGGAAAGTGATAAGAGGTAAAGACCGTGGACAACTGAAAGTCAGTATCTGAACCTCATTTAATTTAGTAGTGTAGATACTGACATCATGCCTGGCTTGGCTGATATCCGTTGTCTTTGTGGAGCAAATCACTCAGTTATAAGATAATGATTAGACAATAAGGCCTGGTTCATACAGTTGCTTTGAGGACTTCTCTGTCTCACGTTGTAATTCCACCAGGAGATATATACCTGTGTTGCCTAATGTTACCTATTGGTTGATGGAAATTTATTTAATACTAATATGGACATATGGATTTTGTGAGAGCAAGGACATTGCAGTACTGCTGTAGTCTTCCCACTTTGGAGACCCAAATTAACGTCTCCTCAGGGTGGACCCACCAGCTGTGATTGTCTCAGCCCCACACCAGACTCTGTATGAACATCCAACTCCATATACTGAATGGGAAAGGTACCTGCTACTGAACCCAGACAGAAGAGGTGTTCTTCTTGCCTGTCTGATGAAAAACTCCTACTAAGTGGCATGTCATTAACATATTTCCTTAGTGAAACCTGTTCATCCCAATCCAAGTGCTACTAGAGATGAGACACATGCACCTCTCTTTGCAGAAAACATGATCCGTTACACAGGCAGCCCAGACAGCCTCCGTTCCCGCACACCCATGATCACCCCTGACCTTGAGAGTGGAGTCAAGATGTGGCACTTGGTGAAGAACCATGAGCATGGTGACCAAAAAGAGGGTGACCGGGGCAGCAAGATGGTTTCTGAGATCTACTTGACAAGACTACTTGCCACCAAGGTACATGGTGGGGGCGGGGAAGAGGGTGAGAAATGTTTTTTTAAAGGCTGCAGGGAAGCTTCTTGCCTACACGAAATGAGAGACTGCTCAAAAGATGCCAAAGGGGAATAAAGAGAGAAGAGCAGAAGGGAAATAGAGCAAGAGGAGTGCTCCAAGCATGTAGGGA